ACTGACAGTACATAGAAGGATTCTAGATTTCAGTTCAAGCTAAAGTTTATTTATTTTTTGCATGAATACTTTTTTTTTTTTTTTTTTTTTTAAAGACAGGCTCTTACTGTGTAGTGCAGGGCAGCCTTGAACTCACAGAGATGCTCCTGTCTCAGACTCCTGAGTGCTGGGATTACAGGTGGGCGCCAGCTGTATAAATACTTCTTAGCATAGCCTTGCAAATCATTACCACTCTATATTAACTTAAAAGCACAACTGTTAGTTGGCCATGGTGGCAAATGCCTGTAGTCCCAGCACTAGGGTAGCTGAGTCACGAGGATCACTGTGAGTTCAAGGCCAGGCTGGGCTACAGTGTCTCAAAATGAAAGAACAAAATCACAAGGCACAACCCTTCATTAAATAATACTCATTTTTAAAACCTTACCACCGAATCTCACTGCTTACAAGATAATTTCTGATTCTGCAGGTAAGCCTGGAAAGTTAACTTCTGTGTCAGAGAACATTTCAACATTGTAGACCAAGACTAGAAAGCTACATTCCTGTAATAGTGGAAAATAAGTAAAAAACAAATCTGAGAAATAAAAAGTCCAAAGGCTTTTTTTTTTTTTTTTTTTTTTGTCTTTTTCATTTTTATTGGTACCGGGGATCGAACTCACAACCGCCTGCTTGCAAGGCAGGTGTTTATGCCGCTGAGCTAAATCCCCAGCCGCCCAAAGGCTCTTTTAATGATGAAAAAATTCTGTTCTGGGTCAGGAGGGCATTTTGACCAGTGCAAAATGGTAGGATGAAGAGATCCTTGAACCAGTAACTATTAAGAAATTACAACAGAAAATGCTATCAGCAAGAATCAATTAAGGTTCAGAGGAGCCTCACTGAGCACTCAGCTAAAGTGTTTACTTACTGGGTAAACTTCACAGTGGAAATATACTGACTACAGAGGTTACTAGGAAAACAAAGTGTGTCCTTTAAGGCCCATTTTCTATTATCTCCAGTTTAGAGTCCACATCTCCATCTTTCAGGCCACACCCCACCCAGCATAAGGTGAGCAGCCGGCAGGTGACAGCAGCAAGCTTCACTTGCTTTTACAGCTAAACCCACTGCTGCACTACTGCCTGAGCTGCTCCTGTCAGGTCAGCAGCAGCAGCATTAGACTCTCACAGGACCATGAACCCTATACACTATGAACCTGCATGTCAGGAATCCAGGTTCTATGTCCTTAAGACAATCTAATGTACTACTACTACTTAAAGTGCACAATAAACACAACATGCTCCAACCATTCCTCTTCCACTGTCCGCAGAAAAATTGTTTCCAACAAAAGTGGTCCTTGGGGTGCCACAAAGTTTGGAAGATGCTTGTCTAGCTACAGAAAGAGACTCCTATAATAAAAGTAACCCTTCATATACTGAGAGGTGCTTATTCTACCTTAGCCTAATAGAGCCATTCTTACCCTTTGAAAAGTACAAAAACATAGCTAGTGCTATGTCTTTATAATCAAAAGTAATAGTGAGGCATACGTATCTGTGATTTTAGCTTTTGGGAGGATGAGGCAGGAGGGTCACTAAGAGTTCCAGGCCAGCCTGGGCTACATAATGAATTAAGGCCAGCCTGAAACCATCTCAAAAAAACAACAAAAACAAAAAACAACTGGACCTAGTGATATAGGCTTGTGACTTAGCAAGAGCTTGTCACAAAAGTAAAAAAACTGGGCTTGGGATGCAGTTCAATGCAAAGGTCCTGGGTTCAATTTCCAGTAGTGCCCCTCCCCCCACCAAAAGTAGTATGTACAACTTATATTGGAATGTTTTATAATTTAGAAGGCACTGTCAGTACAAATATCACTTCTGGTTTTTATTTATTTATTTTTTTTGAGATAGGGTCTTGTGTAGTTCAGGCTGGCCTTGAGCTCACAGTGATCCTCTTGCTTCAGTCCCTTGAGTGCTGAGGTTACACTATCTGCAGCTATACATAACACTTTTGATTAAAACATGCCATTTAAATATAATTTCAAGGACATGTAATCCATTCTATAGTTTGCTTCCTCATTTAGTTTTTCACAGCTTCTTACTAACTGTTCTTGTCAAAATTATTTATGAAGAAAACATTCCTTGTTTTTTTTTGGTCTTTTTGAGATGGGTCTTGCTATGCAGTTCAGGCTGGTCTTGAACTGTGAGCCACCACGCCCAGCTGATAAGAGAACATTCCTTTAAGAACCTGGGTGGGCTTTTCATTTTCTTTAAGGTTAAAAATTTTGTTACTGAGGCTACATTACAACATACTATTCCTTTTCCTTAATCTTTCCTGAGTCCGATGATGTGAAACTGATTCTAAATCACAGGAAAAATAGATACTTTACAATTCTTTTTGTTAGGTTCTATCCAATCTCACCATGGGCAGAACATCCTTGGTTTTGAATTAAATTACAACTTGATGTGAGACACCCCCCCCCCTTGCTGCCATTTGGGGAATGAAATTCATAGCCCCATGGGCTGGGCTACATTTCCAGTTCTTTTTAATTTTGGGATAAAGTCTACTAAACCGCTCAGGCTGCGTTCCTGTTATCCTCCTGCTTTAGACTCCTGAGTAGCTGGGGTGCCCAGTGTGTGCCACTATGACCTAGCTAATGCAAGTGTTTTTAAGTGCACCAAAAAAACACGCATACACACATCAGGGAAAAAAAAGTGAGTTTTTTTTTCAATAGATGATGTTATCCTTATATAGGGGGCCTAGAGGATGTCAAATATAGCAGGAAAGTCACTACACTGCTGGCCTTTAAGAGAAGAAATTAAAAATGTATGTGCAGGAATCTCAATGAGCAAGGTTACCCAGGCAGTATCTTGCCATACTAATAAATGTCTGGAAGCTAATAGCTACCACTCTGAGTACCTTCTGGAATTGTAGAGGCCAAAGGCAACTTATGTTAAAATCATGATGTCTCAATAAATTTAGCATTAAAATATTTATAGTTTTTCTTTTCCTGAAGTGTATATACATTTTTATTGGCAGACTGCACAAAAACACTACAAAGGCAAACAAAAGCCCCGAACTAGGTGCAAATTCTACTCATCACACTTCAGATCAGTTATGGAAAGTATATATACCCTAATGTCATGTTACTTAGGAACTGCTAGAATAACTTAGCCTCAACCCAAGGCTTCAATGGCTGGCATCACTGAAGGAGATTCTGGGCTTTAAGTGCACAATAAGTGACAGTTCACTGTGGTCAAAGCAGCCTCACAATCCAAGGAAACAGTGCCCGGCAAAGTACAGAGGACCCTCAGGCCTGGCAGCAGGTTCCAAAGAACTATTTCCTAGGTCTGGGTTAGGTTTGTAGTTTGTTGGAATGGCCACAAGAGTAGATGGAATCCATACTTGTTATCTCTGATTTTCAACTTCTTTCCTTAAAAGTCCTTTAGGTAATATTACAAAAAGTATAAAACTGATTGCCTTTTTATTTGCGTTATGAAGAAGTGAACCAAGGGTCTTTGCACTGAGCTATATCCTAAAGTTGCAAAATATGGGTTTGAACTTGTGATCCTCCTACTTCAGTCTTCTGAGTAGTTGGTATCATAGGTATGTGTTACCAGGTTCAGCTTTGACTGTGGTTTTTTTTTTGGTCTTTCTGAGACAGGGTCTCACTATGCAGTTCAGTCTGGCCTAGAGTTCATTCTGTAGCCCAGGCTGGTCTTGAACTTATAATGATTCTCCTGTCTCAGCCTCCAAAGTGCTGGATTACAGGCATGTGCCACCACACCTGGCCAAGAATAGAACCTTAAAAGTTTTCAAATGTCTGATGGGAAAGACTGAAAGAATTATGGAGCATTTTTGGAAATATTCTTTCAAGGTGCTTTGGTAATAAGTATGAAACAGACATGGACATTCTGTAACTGAAAGATTAAGTTACTTTTCTGAACTTTTGTTTCCTCTTCTGCAAAACGAAAATAATTACTTCAAATAATTACTTTGAAAATTAAATGACATAATTCATGCAAAATACCTAGTAGAGTGCCTAATTCATAAAAAGCACTCAAAATCTTAACTACTGCCATTATCACTGCCAGTGAAAGGAAATTCTTACATGCAATATCAAAGGCACATAAACTACTGTTTCAGAGTCAGTACATTAACAGATATAAAAAAATTTGATGTAGGTGGGTATGCTGGTGCATATCTGTATCCTCAGCATTTTGGGAGGCTGAGGTAGGAGGATCATAAATTTGAGCCCAGTCTGAGTAACTTAGTGAAACCCTGTCTCAAAAAATTAAAAAAAGGCTCAGGATATAGCTAAGTGCCAAGGCCCTGGAAAAGAAACAGAAAAAAAGTCTAATCTAAAACTGTACCAAGAAGTAGAATGTTTACCTCAGCATTACTAGTAATAGGAAAATATTAAAGATTAAAAACAATCTAAGGATGCTACAGTTAAGTAATGAATATAAAAAGAATAAAGCTGATTGATATAATATACCTTTAAAGATAGATATATTTTATATCACATTAAAATGTATATTGTGTATAAAATATAACCCATATTAGATATGCTATTATATATATATTATAATATATAATCCATAGTATAAGAAACTACTCTGCACAAAAACTTGAACCTGAATATTTATAGACACATTATTTATCACTAACCAAACATAGAGAAAGCAACTGGTGAAGGTAATGGGATAGTATTCAACTATAAAAAGATAGTATCAACCACCTCATAGAGGGTATGACACGGACTAAGCCTTCAAAATATTTTGTCAGGTGAAAGGAGTCAGACTCGGACCAACAAGTTTATTGAGATAGAAAGCAGATTAGTAGCTGCCTGGGATTAAGGCATACGGAAGGAATGACTGCTAATGGGTATAGATACTAAGGGGTAAGGGACAAAAACAGTCTGTAATTGATTATAGTGATTACATCTAGATTGCTATACAACTCTAAATATGCTAAGTCGTTATTTATAAAAGTATGTAAGTAAAAATTACAGTCTGTCACATATTACTCACCATCCATGAGGAGCCAATGGCCGGTGAGAACCCAGATGAGGACGAGCATGACAGACAGAGAGAATGATAGTAACTCAGCAGCAGTGAAACGTCCACAGCAACCAAAGGAAATCCTGATAAATACACAATTTTTAGGGGACTGATGAGCACACTGCATTCAATAACTAAATTTTCCTTTGGTTCTTGGTCAGAATTCGGGTGGATTAAACTAGTAGGGCAATACCCTAGAAGATCCAAGCCTCTTTGGAGTAAGCTACAGAAAACTCAGAGGAATTAAATTTCTGTTGCCGTTTCCATTAATATACTTCTAGGCCCAATTATCAAAATGGGTATTTAAAAGTTTGAAGTGACAAAATCAATCTCTGGAAGGCTAACTATGGGGGAAAATTCTAATTCTAAGAGGAAAACAAAGGAAGCCAACAATTTAATTCACTTAGCAAAGAAGAATTTTTGTGACATGGTCAATCTATTCAGCTATCACTAACTCTTGGGAGAATTAGCTGCTAGTGACTGGTTTCTATGTGCATAGAGCATTTCTATTAGCACTTTACTTCCAAGGAGGAACTCCTTTAGGAGTTAAAATATAATCACTTAGCATTAAACCAAAAAGGGCTTAGCCTATCTAGGTCACCAAAGAGAAAGGTAAAGAATGCTTGAATTCAACCACTATTCTCATATTCCATGAGGTCAACAGTAAGGAATAAAAGCACTGCTTTAAAAGAAAACTGCTTGTTTTTCAGTATGTACAGTAAGTATATTACAATGACTAAGATTTGTTTTTATTTTCTCTGCCAAGAAAAGGTACAAAAGAAAGTACTATATCTTAGTTTTAAAGGATCAAGTATCTTGCTTCCCAATCATTTGGCATTTGTATCAGTAACACCAGACACTTAAGACTCCTAATAAAACTACCAAGCATAAGAGAAAAACAGAAATTTTAAAATTAGAACAAAAATCTCAAATCCTTACTTGTTCTGAGGTGAACAGGGTCTTGTTAAATACTGGCACATCGGGAGAAGAAGAAAAGCAAAAGCTATTGTTGCAAGAACTAGAGAAAAAAAAAGTGTGATTAATATTTTTAAAAAATTTTCTGTCAATTGTAAGAAAAATGGCAGTTTAGTCACTTTTTGAGAATTTTTTTTTTCTTTCTTTTCGTCGTTTCCCTTTTTATTGGTACCGGGGATCGAACTCACGACTGCTTCCAAAGCAGGCACTTATGCCGCTGAGCTAAATCCCCAGCCCCTGAAATACATTTTTGATGAATGGAAACAATTTAACTGAAGACTTTTTTTTACTATTACACAAATACCTCTTTTAAAAACATACAAAAGGTACCTGAATTTTTTTTTTTTTTTTTTTTTTTTTTTGAGACAGGGTCTCACTATGCAGTTCAGGTTGTCCTTGAGCTCACTTTGTAGCCCAGGTTGGCAATGATTCTCCTGCCTCAGCCTCCCAAGTGCTGGGATTAAAGGGGTGTGCCACCATGCCCAGCAAAGGTACCTGATTTTGAAGTAGGGGTAGTATGGGTAAATTTTCTCATTCTCTCTCTCTCTCTCTCTTTTTTTTTCTTTTTTATCAGTACCAGGGATCGAACTCACGACCACACACTTGCGCTTATGCCGCTGAGCAAATCCCCAGCCCCTCATTCTCTTTTAACTCAACAAGGAAAGATAAAATAGTGGGTCCTAGCCTAGTAAGTCTTAGAGTGTTTGGTTAATTTTTTTTAAAAAACACTGCTTAGATTGAAAACAGATAAGATAGCTGACAACAGAATCTCTGATTAGTTGCCAATGTTTCTATCTGCAGAAACACTGGCACAGGCTGCACCAATGATCACTATGTCAACCTGGATCTTCTGGTGATCTACTAGAAAAGGTACCACAGTTAAAGCAATATTGTGTTGATGTCAAAAAGCTTATGAGTCTTCAAATTCCTGGCCTTTCTTTCAGACTGTGTTAAGAGGTCCAAACAGATGATGAGTTGTTTTGTTTTGTTTTTTTGTCTTTTTCGTTTTTATCGGTACCAGGGATCGAATTCATGACTGCCAGCTTACACGGCAGGCGCTTATGCCACAGAGCTAAATCCCCAGCCCCAGATGGTGAGTTGTTAAGTGGAGGCTTGGGGCTGGGAGAGAAAAAGCCAGATTTAGGAAGAAAAACTTGCATGGTATACTATGTAGATCTTAAGTTTTTCCTTTTTGTATACTAAGAATGGACAGGGAAACTCCACTTACCTGCTGTACATATTGTAAAAACTACTTGAACTGAGTCAAAGAAGAAGAACATTACTAGAAGTGAGACAGATGCTCCAATTGGAAGGAACAGAGCCTGGGTAGAGTCAATTGTTTGGATACCTGAAAAACAGAAAATGCGACATATTAACCACTTGTTACCTAACAGACACTATGCCTAAACACTTTATATACACTAGCTCATTAAAATGCAGGTAGTTCTTCGGAGTGCTATATAATGTACAGATTATCCAAGGCCCTGTGATTTTCTTTTTCCAATGAGATTATGAGGTCCTTTCTCACCTCCGTGCTTTCACTACAATTAAGTGCACAAAAAAGATGTATCAGAACAGATTACTACCTTCTGATAGTAACCATCCAGATGACTAGAAACAGACACAGAATCATCACTTCCACCAAAAAACAAAACAAAACAAAACAAAACAAAACCAACCCAAAGCTGGACATTGTTGGGGCACACTTGTAATCTCAGCACTCAAAGAGGCTGAGACAACAGGATCAGATGTCTAAATCCCACTTGGGCAACTTAGTGAGAATGTGTCTCAAAAATAACCCAAATCAGTATTAAGAGGTAGTAAAAACTCAGATTAGTTAATCTGAGTATGTTTGTTAGATCTTGTTTTTAGATTTGATAAAAGAGGTAGTTTAAACCACCGACTAATTTCTCAATTAGTGGACTTCATGTTTATGTTTAATGAGGAAGTGCATGAATAAGGAATAAGAGTTGTAAGCAGCAAATCAAGAAAATTATTTCATGCCAGCATTTTAAGATATAACTTGGGAGATAAATGGGTGGCTGTCTTGGAATATGAAATTCTGCACAGTAATTCTCAGTTTTTGGTCACTCACTAGAATAATCTAGAGTTTTAAATACTATAGGCCTACAGCTGGGTGTGGAGGCACACTCCTGTAATCCCAGCACTCAATAGGCTGAGGCCGAAGATTTTAAAGCAGGAAGTAGTATCACAGGGCAAGTAAAACTCCTTCAGTTGCTACCTTAAACAGTATACCTGACTTCAGTGTGGCACTTCAAAAGGATTAAAGATAATGATCTGACAGGAGAAAGAGCTAATTATAAATTTTAGACAAATTCAGTAGCTTACAAAAACAAACTACAACAAAGCTAAACAGAGTACCCATAATTCAGAAGACTTACATGCACTCAACTGCATTGTCCCCTTGTACAGTATTGTAGTCTGAACCCAGGGTCTTCACTCTGAGCTACCTCCCTTTCCCTTCTTCAAAGAAATTTTTGAGACCAAGTCTTGATAAGTCACCTATGCTGGGCGCAAACTTATGATTCTTCTGTCTTGGCTCTCTACAGCGCTGGAATTCCAGGTATGTAGCACCACACCTGGCTGATTTTGTATCTTTGTCTAAATATTTACAAATACTTACTGTAGTAGCATTAGGAAGGACTAAAACAGTAATTTCCAAATCTTCTGGCATTTGCAGGGTAAGAGAGGGAGTGTCATGAATTCTAATATACATTTCTATGAATCTTTATAGATCAAATAATTACACATGAAGTAAAAGACTTTAAGATGTCAAACAATGGGGTACATTTGTCTTTCATCTTCTTAATGCTAATTAAACAAAGGACTGTTGCGTGAGTGGGAATGTCTTTATACAGACTTCTTGGGGCAGATACAAGAGTTCCAATAAGGTAGGGAGCAATGAGAGAGACAGAGACAGAGACAGACACAGACAGATATTCTTTCCAGTGGTTTTTACTGTGAAACATCACACACAGAGAAGAATAGAAGTGGGGAGAAGAGGGGAGCTCAACGAATCGTCACACATCAATGCAGGGACCGACTGACCTCAGGAACCTTGCCTGTCATATTTCTTTCCTCCAAAGGCAGTTACTACACCAGCTTCTGTGAAACTCTCTTCTTACTTTATGTATTCCACCCCAACAAGCACCCATAAATAATCACATTTACTTTGCCTGGTTCATGAATAGATAACACACTGAACCATGTAGCATTTTTTGCAACCTGGCTTTTCTCCCCTTACTCAACATTATTTGGGAGAATCATCCATGCTTTTATTTGAATTTGGTTTCACTGTATGAATACATTAACGTCTACTCTATGACTGACATTTTGGTCGATTTCAAACTTGTGGCTATTGCAAATAATGCTGACTTGTTTGCTCTATGTGACTTTTGTACACATGGCCTGTATCTGTTAGTATATAGCCAAGAATGACCTGTTGGGTCCAAGGGTGTTTTTATCTTCACCATTAATACATAGTGCCAAAATGTTTTCTAAAATGATTCTGAGAACGTGCACTCTCTCCAGAGCCTAAAGAGGGCTCTTCCTTGCTCTACATCTAGCTGTTCTGGTAGTTCACAGTGCTATTTCATCATGCTTTTCATTTTCATTTTCCTGCTTTTCCTGAGTAGGTCTGTTCTATGGTCCCCCTGACTTCGATGTAATTTTGTGTTGTCCAAACAAGTAGAAGTAGTAATTTTTTAGTCTTGGGACAAATATCCTAGGGTCATTTTATTTATTCTACCCTTTAGCCTACAGAAGTGATAATCTCCTTTTTGGGAGTTTAGGCTTTTTGGCCAGATGGCCCATCTAATCCTGTCATCACTTAATATTTCTTTAAGATTCTTTTGTAAACAAAGACTTTTTTTTTTTTTTTTTAATAAGTACTGGGGATTGAACCCAGGGCCTTTGCACTGAGCTATACCTCTTGCCTATATATGTATGTGTATGTATGTATATAAGTAAAAATTTTTAAGTTTTTGAGATACAGTCTCACTATATTACCTAGGCTGGGCTCAAACTTGTGATCTTCCTGCCTCAAGCTTCTAGAGTGTGTGCACACTAAGCTTTAATTCTTGACATATCTGCAGCATATAACCTGTAAGAAATCCTTCATCCTTAACAACTGATGATGCTGGCCTGCATTATACTTTTCCTCTCAGGTTTTTCACAAATTCTTTTATTTGTGTGATTTTGAGAATGAGCAAATGCAGTCTTTTAACATTAAATTTACAACTTAATTTTCCTTAGAATCTTTGCCCTAATTCTACTGCACTGTTAATTATTTAATCTCCATAGCACCTGCACAAAAGATTGTGTTCTTCTGTTCATCTTTCTGGTTGTTACTATTTCTTTGATTTTTGACAAAGATGATGTTTTCTATTCTATCCCTTCAATTAAAATGATGTTATATTCCAAAATCAATTCTTTACAATGGCAGTTTCTTTCATAATGTTTGTTCTTTTCTCTTGGTTTTTTTTTTTGTACTGGGGATTGAACTCACAACCTCGAACTTGCCAGACAGGCGCTTATGCTGCTAAGCTAAATCCCTGGCCCCAATATTTGTTCTTATTATGAGGAAGGAAAGCATTGTGCTTTATCCTAATCTGTCCTTATCTTTTTTGGTACTCATGACTTGAGAGTAAATACTGAAGAAATGTAGGTTTCTATTTGTTTTTGAGACAGGGTTCTATTATGTTCAGTCCACCCTTGCACTTGACGTGATCCTCTTGCCTCAGCCTCCTCAACTGCTGGGATTACAGGCATGTGGCACCACATTTGGCTGAGGAAATATACGTTGTGGAGGCCAACTTAACATTATACAGGAGGCAGAATTAATAAAACGACGCTTTAAAATATAGTATACTATTCTCTTTAGATTATGATTAATATCCTAGGGAACTTCTTTCCACTATATGTTGATAACAAAATTGACTTGCCTTTTTCTCACTCCCTTTGTATATCAAAGTGATTTAATCTCTACAGCTTACTCTGACCCACTGATGATAGCTACCTGTTCGTAAGAAAACTATCATGAGCATCAGTGAAAACGTATCTGCCTCAAGTATGGAAGGTGAAGTGGTACTTACTAAGTCTTAACATTTTTTTTAAACATCTTGGAAAGGAATGACTACTCTTGTACTTTGTTAAGTGCATGATAGGCACTGAAAGTAAATGTGATACTGTCAGATCAAACAACTTTTCTTTCTTCTTGCTTTGTGTGGTGGTGGAGATAGAACCAGGGGCCTATCTAGGTGTGGTAATGCACACCTGTAATGCCAGCACTTGAGAAGCTGTGGCAGGAGGATCTCCTCGAGTTTGAGGCCAGCATGAGCTACAAGTGAGTTCAAGGCTGGCTTGAATTACACAATGACACCTGTCTCCAAAACAAAGAAAAACAATCCAGTGCCTTGTGCATGAGAAGTTAAGTATTTTCTACCACTGAACTCTACTCCCAACCTCTATATCTCTGTATTTCTAATATAATTCTTTTCACAATAAGTGACATAAATTTTCTACTACTCTGCTGAGGTATGTTTTTTGAAGTATAATTTACATGCTATAAAGTCTAACCATTTTAAGTCTATAACTCAGTATTTTTGGATAAATCTACCACCTGTGAAATCATCACCGTAATCTAGTTTTTGAACATTCTCATCACCTGTATAAGATCCCTTAGTTTAATTCTCTTTACCATTTCTATCTCTAGGTAACCTTAATCCACCTTATGGATCTGCTGCTTCAGAAATTTCATACAGACGTGCTTGCTCATACAGTAATGTGTCTGGCTTTCTCTCAGCGTACTGTTTGGAGTTTCATTCTTACTGCAGCTCATACTAGTACATCATTCTTTTTTAATGCAAAATAATATTCCACTGTACATGTAAACTATTTTTAAAAGTAAATGCATTAGTTTTTTGTTTTGAGACAGAGTTTGCTATGTAGTTCACGCTGGCCGAACTCACCAAATTAAGGCTGGCCTGAGATTCACAGTGACTTCTCCTGGCTCAGCCTCCTGAGGCTAGGATTTGAGGTCATGCTTGGCTCTTGTAAGATTTCAAGTATCACAAGAGGTATCAATAATGATACTCAGCTATATAAGTACTTCAAATAGCTCACTTTTAACCGTCACCAAATGAATTTATAATCCACACAAAATTACCAACTTAACAGAAGTATCTAAATGAGGGCATAAACAAGCAGATACTAATGTCTTATCTTTACACTCTCAGCAGCAAGCTTTTAGCCATATGCAAGAAATCAGTACAGTAGCTCCAACTCAGACCATAGCCTAGATTTTCTTATGATACCAACCGTAAAAACTTGAGCCCAATAAACTATGAAGTGGAAGGATCACGGTATCTACATGGATGAAAGTTAACAGACACAAAATGTCTTACTATTATTGGTGCTGTTGCCATTGAAAGACCCAGAAGAACTGTTACTGTCTTTTTCCTTGTCTTGATTTTCAAAGTCCATATTAAGGGACCTGTGGGGAAAGAATTTACAGGTAAGTTTTAGACAGTATTTTAAAAATGCGAAGGCCATTAAGAAAGGAAGATGTCTTCTGAGCTATGAAAAATAGTTCCTGTTGTCACATGTAAAAAAATAAGCTACATTTCTTCCAAATGTCAGCTTATAAATGTTCCTGACCAAAGATGAAAGCATTCCAATATGGCTGAATATTCCAGCTATAACACTGTGTACATTCTTAATTACTTCCTTATGATCAAAACCTAGAAGGAGAAATGTGGAATCAAACAGCAAGCACATTTTGAGACTTTTATCTGCCATACAACTGCTTCCTTTGGAAAGCAGTATATTGGTGTACCAATCTACTCTGTGCAGCAGCTAGTGAAAGCCCTCCTTTTCCTATTCCTTGTCTTCTCTGATTCAACAACAAAGACTAAAGTTTCTTTTATGCGTCTTAGCACTAGAGGGCAAAGAGTAAGCAAAACCCACATGACACATGGGTTTCACTTTCAAAGGAGAAAGCAGATAAATAATAGTAAGAAAAGAAAAAGAAGTTAAAGAGATGGCATGTTAAAGGCAGGAACTAGGGAGAAAAAGCAGGAAATACAGGGGTTTGAAATCTTACTGACAGTGACATCATGAAAGAAATAGCCGTTGTCATCTCATGTTAACGCAGAATTCATCATCTGGTGAACAACTGTGTGCACAGTGCACTTGCTCAGCTATTTATTTTCTGTGGACAACCTGTTCTCATTCTTGGCTCACTTCCTGCTAGTGTGTTCCTGTATGGAGGTTGCTATCTTTCAAAGAACTTCCCATGGTGCTAGAAATGTTCTATGTCCACACCAACCAAGGTGTTAGACCTGAGCAATATGATCATCTGAAATGTGGCTAGTGTGACAGGAATTGAATTCTAAATTTTATTTAAGTATTTTAACATGTTTCCACCGACTTGAACCACCAGTGATACACGTGTGACTGTCCCACTGCATAGCTTGTACCACCAGTAGTTCAAATAGGTCTAATTACCCTTATGGGTTCTTTTACTAATAAAATTAGTAAAAAGCTACCCAACGGGGGCATGTACCACCAGTGATTCAATCCACCTGGCCTCAAGACCTATGAATTACTATGAACGTGTTAAGTCATCCATGGGCCAACATCTACACAAACAGAAGAAAACGGTAAATCTGCTGGGGGTTTAGCTCAGCGGCATAAGTGCCTGCTTGGCAAACACGAGGTCATGAGTTCAATCACACACACACACATACACACACACACACAAACAGGGTAAATCTTTGTAACATTGGATGTAACAGTGGATTATCAGATTTGATGCCAAAAAACATGACAAAAATACACAAATTTGGACTTTACTAAAGTCAAAAACTTTTGTGCTTCAAATGACATACACACATAAAAAAAGACACCCCCATGAGATGGGAGAAAATATTTTCAAATCATATTTGATAAGAATCTTTGTATCTAGATAGAATATACAGAGAACTTTTCATACACACTAATATGGGCATAATGAAAAAAAAAAGTCTAATCAAATGCTGGCCAAGATATAAAACTAGGCTCTTAGGACAAAGTCTGCAATTCTGGTCCTCAGGGAGGCTGAGGCAAGAAGATCAAGAAATTTGAGCTCAGTGTGGGTAATTTAGCAAGACCCTGTTTCAAAAAAATAAAAAAAGGATTGAGGATGTAGTTTAGTGTAAAGATCGGGGGTTCAATACCCAGTATGGCAAAAACCAAACCAAATCCTGTTCATACACTGCTACTGGTAGCATAAACTTACGCAGCCACTTTGGAAAACAAAATTTAACTATGCTGACACCCTCATCTCAACTTTCAAAACTCAGAAAATGTATTTGTTGTCTAAGCTCAACTAGTCTATATTTTGTTATGCCATGCTGAACTTCATTAGCGATCACACTTTGTAAACTGAGACTTGTAGACTGTATTTTGGAGAGGTAAAGACATTAGTAAATATTCCAGGTATATGTAAGAATGTATTTCATTTGTTAGCACATTTTGTAAACATCAATTAGGCCAACATGACTAAGAATATTGTTTGAATACATTGTATCCTTGCTGATTTTCTGCCTACTTATTGTACCATTATAGAAATTCTACCATTATATTCAACTATATTTGTGGACTTATTTTGCTTTTGCAGCGCTGAGGACTAAACTCAGGGCCTTCATAATGAGCCCTTTTTAAATTTTTGAAACAGGGTCTTGAGTCACTATATTGCCTGGCTTCGACCTGGAATCTTCCTGCCTCATGACTCCCAGAGTGCTGTGATTACAGGCATGTACCACCATACCCAGCTCCCCTTGAAGCTATTATCAGTTTTGTTTATTTGTTTGTTTTTGGAGACAGGGTCTCTTTAATTCAGGATGACCTTGAATTAGCTCAGGTTGTCATCAAACTATGATCCTCCTGAATTCTGGAACTATAAGTACGTATACTACTCAGCATGGTTTTCTTTATGTTTCTTATACCTGGAATATATAGAGCTTCTTGAGTTTGTGGTTATACTTTTCAACAAACTTGGAAAAATTTGGTCACTTTTTAAAATATTTTTTCTCTACTTTCAGCAAGTACAATTATACATTAGGCTACTACTGGTTTCCCTTTCTCTGTATTTTCTACCCATAGTTTGTACTGCTGTACCTTCAAATTCACTAATGTTTACTTCTACAATATTTAGCTACCATTAATCCCATGCAGTGTTCCTTTAAAAAAAAAAGATCACAGATAAAATAAGCCAGGCAAGGTAGCAAATGACTGTTAATACCAAAGAACATTTTGGGAAGCTCAGGGAGAGGAATTCCAAGGATAGTGAGGTCCTATCTGAAAATGAAAAGCTTAAGAAGGGTTGCAGATATAGCTTAATGTGTGGAGGCCCAGGTTCAGTTCCTAGCACCAAGAGATGGGGGAAGGGGGGGCGCCTCAGATGGCGACATTTTTATTTTTATAGATCTGATTTGTATCTTCCATGTATTTGCTTTTTCTCCATATAGGCTGTAGTTGTATCTGTTTTGATGCACTTCTACCATCTGTGTCAGCTCTGAGTTAATTCTGATTATTCTCATCATGGGTCATGCCTTCTTGCTTGGGTCTGGTAATCTTGGGTTATGTGCCAGATACTATCAATTTTACTTCGTTTTAGTATTTTTATGCTTCTACTGGCAGCTCAGTATTTTAACTGTTCATGTATTTTATGCATTTATCTGAGATGCTGTTATATAGAATAATTTGTTCAGGTCTTGCTTTTATGATGAGGTAATTGAAAGGGGTGTTCTGAGTATGGTAGTTCCTTTCAGCTGTCTTATCAATGCTCCAATCTGGTCAGTGGGGATAGGTACTCTTCTCTCTAATCCTTTCACATTATTTTTTCTTTTACCTTAGCGTCATTTCTTCACATGCAAGTACTAATAAATATTCTGGTGAATATTCAAGAGCTTGTCTGCAGATTTCTGGGATTTCCTTTTCTCTCTTTGCAGCTTTCTTTTCTTTTGTACTGTGTTCTCTTTGCAACTTTCTTTTCTTTTGTACTGTGTTCTATTAACTTGAGCTGCCTTGATCTTTCTGGACTCTTTTAAGATCCAAATCCTTAGGGAATTTCCCTTGTTGCCCTATGACCTTGGTCAGGATCACTGTGTTCTGTTGACAGCATCTTGAAAAATCACTGCATTATGTTATGGGTTTGGGGGGCAGGAGTATTGTTTCAGGTGGAATGATAACTCAGTCCTGTTACAGCACCTTGGCTGGAACTACAAGTGCCTCTAGAGAGTTCTGTTAAGTAGGACCCAAACAGCAGATTTTAAAGAAAAGAATACTCCTTTTATTCCTTGGTCCTGCCTTTAAAAAGTTCCTGGGAGGAACCAGAGCACTGCTAAATTTTATTCCTCTTTCTAAGAGAGGAGTGATGCTATTTTGAAGAGATCACAACCCTTCCTGGTAGGAGTTCTTCATCAAACTTTCAGGGCGTGGGCCATACTGACAACTGCTTTCTCCACCACTTTCATTCAAATCCTCTTGCTGGTTGGTTCAAAAGATCTAGCTCTCAACTATGACAGTCTGACCCTAGATGCTGAAACTCCCCTGTCTGTTTCTGGTGCTGGCCACAACTGGCAATATCCTTAATTGCAAGAGTGTCCTGTAATCCCAGGTATGCAGAAGGTCAAGGAAAAGGAATGTGAGTTTGAAGCCAGTCTGGGAAGGGATGGAGGAAGGGAGGGAAAGAATGACTCCGCTAATCTGTGGGGTTTAGACTGGTTAGGTATGCTTCAAGCTGGTGCCTTTAAGTTTTAGCTAATTAGCTATTAGCAAGCTGTCCCGCCAGAGGGCAGCCCCAATGGGTGAATTTCCCTAACAGAACTAAAGGATGGCTATCTTTAGATATGACTGACTTCCTAAGCCTCTTCTACTAGAATATGGTCTGGATTCTCACGCATTACCTTTCCTGGACACGTCTAATTTTTGAAAAAGCTCTGGATTTTACAAAGGTCATCTCACATGTGTTTGGTGGACTTATATTTTTCTATCTATTAAAGAAAAGACACTTTGGCAGGGGACAAAAAAAGTACACTAACAGCTCCTACTGCAGGAGACAAACTCTGTCAATGTTAGTTTCACAACAAATTAGATACAATGTTTTGTGAGTAGTTCCTCTGCCAAGACACTTGTAGTTATTAGTACATGTTTTCATTTTTATGGTCATTGATCAACTGGCTTTTTGAGACAAGGTCTCAATGTGTAGCTCAGGCTGTTTTTGAACACCCTATGTAGCCCAAGCTGGCCCCAATTCAGCAATTCTCCTGCCTCAGCCTCCAGAGTGCTGGGATTACAGGTATGTGCCACAACACCCAGTTTCTATGGTCTTTTATAAATTTTAATTAGTATTTCCTCATGGCAAACCTAATGACTAGGACTGGTGATGCATTTCATGAGGCTCTGTCTGTAGTCAATAGAATATGAAGACTGCTTCCTGGTGGGCATGCT